ATTGTAATACACGAATTATTACATATCTTCGGACAGCCTTATTGGAGTAATGGAAAAAATGAATTCAACCTAAAGAATAATGTTATCATTTCAAACCAAATTCAAATATTTCAGTTGCACATGACTTGCGACTGTCTCGACTGTACTCACGAGTTACGATTATGTTTGTTGTTCCAGACTGGTTTTTATCCACTCTGAAATTTATGTTCGCGACGCAGCGACGCCGTGTATGCGCAATAGACGCAGCTAATGACAGACTTGCAGTTTTATATTTTGTTTCGCTCTTATTCTCAGCTTCGGCGAAAAGAACTTGGTTAATCTGCGTGAAAAAATAAAAACATTTAAGCGTGCCGCCGCGTTGTGTATTTATGTTTTAAAATAAATGCGATCATATAGGATTTTCACAAGGCCACCTCGAGACAACTGGACGCTGGCTCAAGGTGACACGGTCAATTAGATTAACGAGCTTTCGTTACAAAGTAGGAAGTTTGGATGCATGGTATAAGCAGTTTAACTCAGACTGGTTGTCCAGTGGTCATAGCAAAGGAATTTTACACCACATGGCTTGAATTTGGAACAATTGTGTGCCACGTGTAACGCATGTTGGGATTGTGTTTTAATGAATAATGTGTGCCCAACAGATGAACAGTAGCTAGGTCAATAACCCAACGGCATAAGGCATGAACCAGGAAGCTAGCTGTGGCACCGAGTAAAATGCGGACTTCGAAAACTGAAGTATGGAAAATGGATTTATGTATTAAGAATACGTTCACGAGAGAACATTTAGTATGTGAGCCACATCATTAAATTAAACACTAATTAGAACAACTTGGAATAATTACCAATTGCTAATCAGAAAAGGAATGTTACTTTTTGCCTTTGCTCGATCAAAAGTTGGCTTTGGGTTGAAATATTAAAAATCGACGCAGAAATGACTAATGTTTATGTTGCATTTAACAAAGCCTTGAGATAAAAAAGAGTAAAATAATATACATCAAATGGGGTTTATAAGCATCATATAACGTCTATAACTTATATGACTGAAAATTCTTAACCTGAAAATCCAATTAACCGAAGCAGGAACAAAAACAGCGAACTTACTAAACCTATAAAACCGAATTAACATTCTCTCACATATTCTTCATTTTTGCAGCATGTTGTTGATTGTGGTTCGAGTCTATCATTATGGTACAGTTATTGATTTATAGTCTATTTCTGGATTTTGTGTTAAACCGTTAATTTTATCCAATTTTAATCTTGCTTGTAGCGTTTATTTTTAGTTACAATCTCATAAGCCATAAGGGACTTTGGATCTATTATCATTATAGGTGAAATTGACTTAATTTTTATCCACAATAAAATGACTTCGCATTAGTAAAATACGGTCAGTCGGTCAGATCCAAGATCAGACTGCTAGGAATAGGTAAGGTAAATCAGTGTATATTACAGAGGTGTCCTCGTCGATCTTTGAAGGGACGAAGCGAAGACTTTGTGGGGGAGGGGGATATGTAGCGGTTCAATTATATGATTTCTTTAATTACGTATTACGTTACCTGAAAGCAGCGTTTGAGTACATTCAAGTAGCACGTGTTAGAATATATACGGTATAATGATATGGGATCGAAAATTACTGCGGGGGAGGGGGGGGGGGGG